GTTTGTTTTGCTGATCTTCTCTAAGGGGAGAGGAGTCTGATACAGGAAGCCCAAATTCACCCACACATATCATATGGTCAAATGAGATCATCATCTCCACACCTGTTTTGATATTGGTAACTTGTGTCTTCTCTCACTTTTTCTTGGTTAGTCAGGCTAGAAGGTTACCAGTTTTATTCATCTTTTCCAAGAATGAAGTTTTAATTTTGTTGCTTTTCTGTACTGTTTTCCTGTTTTCAATTTCATTGAATTCTACTCTAATATTTATTATTTCTTTTCTTCTGCTTCCTTTAGGCATAAATTGCTCTTCTTTCTCTAGTTTTCTAAGGTAGAAACTTTATTAACTTTAGATCTTTCTTCTTTTCTAATATGTGCATTTAATTCTACAAATTTCCTTCTAAGCATTGCTTTTGCCCCGTCTTGCATGTTTTGATAAGTTATATTTTCATTCTGTTTAGTTTAAAATATTTTTAAATTTCTCTTGAGACTTCTTCTTTGAACTATGGGTAATTAGAAGTGTGTTCTTAAATTTCCAAATATTTAGGGGGATTTTCCAGCTATCTTTCTGTTACTGATTTTTAGTTTAATTTCATTGTGATCTGAGAACATACTCTGTATGATTGCTGTTCTTTTAAACTTGTTAAGATGCATTTTATGGCCCAGAATGTAGTCTATGTTGGTGAATGTTTCCTGTGAGCTTGAGAAGAACGTGCATTCTGCTGTTGTCAGTTGGATTTTCTATTAGTGTTAATTTGATCAAGTTGATTGATGGTGCTATTCAGGTCATCAATATCCTTATTGATTTTCGGCCCGCTTGATCTATCAATTACTGACAGAGAGTTGTTGAAGTCTCCAGTATAATAATAGATTTGTGAATTTCTCCTTTCAGTTCTATTAGTTTTGCCTCATGTATTTTGATATCTTTGTCCATCCCATTACTTTAACCAATCTTTGTCTTTATATTTAAAGGGGGTTTCTTGTAGAAAACATACAGTTGGGTCTTGTTTTTTTTATCCCCTCTGACAATCTGTCTTTTAATTGGTGTATTTAGACCACTGACATTTAAAATGACTACTGATATCATTAGAATAATATCTGCCATGTTTGTATCTCTTTTCTTTTTGTTGCATTTGTTTGTTTCTTTTTTCTCTTTTTTTTTTTTTTGTCTTCTATTTTGAGTATTCCAATTTCTCCCTCCTGTCCCTTGTGACTTTGCTGGCATTTATTTTACTTATCCATACACTATAAGCATTCAACACATTGTTATTATATTACTTTAAACTAAGAGTTATCTTTTAGATGGATTAATAATAGCAAAAATAAATATTTTTATTTTATCTTCATTTATTCTTTCTCTGATGCTCTTCTATTCTTACGGAGATCAAAGTTTCCGACCTATATAATTTTCCTTCTGGCTGAAGAACCTCTTTTAACATTTATTGCAGAGCAGGTCTGCTGGCAATGAATTTTCTCAGTTTTTGTTTTTCTGAGAAAGTCTTTATTTCTCCTTCTTTTGAAAGATAATTTCATTAGATATAGAATTCTAGGTTGGTGGGTTTTTTCCTTCAACACTAAACATTTCACTCTACTTTCTTCTTGCTTGCATAATTTCTGACGAGAGATCCACTTTAATTTTGATCTTTGTTCTTCTATAGCTATGGTGTTCTTCCCGCTCTGGCTTTCAAGATTTTTTTTCTTCGTCTTTGGTTTTCTACAGTTGGAATACAATATGCCTGGGTGTGATTTTTTGGGTATTTATCCTGCTTGGTGTCCTCTAAGCTTCCTGGATCTCTGGTTTGATGTCTGTCATTAATTTTGGAAGGTTCTTGGCCATTAAAGCTTCAATATTTCTTCTGCTCCATTCTCTTTCTTCTGGTATTCCAATGATATGTATGCTTTTCCTTTTGCAATTTTCTCTCAGTTCTTTGATGTTCTGTTTTTTTCATATTTTTCACTCTTTGCATTTCAGTTTAAAGTTTCTATTGACTCATCTTCAAGCTCATTAATCTTTTCCTCAGCCATGTCAAGTCTACTGATGAGCCAATTAAAAGCATTCTTTACTTCTGTTACAGTGTTTTTTATTTACATCCTTTTCTTTTGATTCATTTCTGGAGTTTCCATCTCTCTGCTTACATTACCCATCTGTTCTTTCATGTTGTCTACTTTTTCCATTAGTGTCTATAATGCTTTTAATCATAGTTATTTTAAATTCTCTGTCTGATAATTCCAACATCTGTGTCATATTTGAGTCCGGTTCTGATGATTGTTTTGTTTCTTCAGGCTGTTTTTTCTCACTTTCTGGCAGGTCTGTAATTTTTTGTTGAAATCTAGACATGTTGTATCAGGCAATAGGAAGTGAGATACACAGACCTTTAAAGTGATGATTTATGTTAATCTGGCAAGGAATTGAGATATGTTTAATGTTTGCTGTAGCTATAAGCGCCAGAGGCCTCAAATTCCTCTAATGTCCCTGTTTTTGTCTCTTCTCTTGACTTTGGGCTTCTCTAAGCACTACCCCTCAGAGAAAGTTTGCATCTTGCAGATATTTCAGCTATAATCCACTGTTATTATTTTGGAGTCCTGTTGGTTTGGTGGTAGGATATGGGTGATGGATAGCATTCTATAATTTTCCAATTAAACCTCTACCTTTTAGGGGTCCTATATCTTGTGGCTTTCACCTTCCTAAGTGTTTCTCCAGTGATAGAGCTTTTTTCCCCCTGCCTTCTTCCCTTTCCCCATGCTACAGAATTTCCTATCAATTTCCTTGAGGCTCTAACTGCTGTTGACTATGTCTTCTCCCCCTCCAAACCCACAGTTGAGACAGGAAGGCTAAAATGGGATGAAATGGGAGAAATTCCCTTCCCTTAGCTGGGAAAACAGTGTAGAGAACAGGACTTTGTTATGGAGAAGGCTCTGGCATATTTCATGATTACTTTTCCCTTTCCCCTCCCAGAGCTAATGGTGGTGGTGGGGGGTGGGTATGTCTTTCTCAGGTCTTCACTATGAGAATCTGCTAGGGTTACTGGAGGTAAAGCCCATGAAAGTATGCCCCCCCCAAGACTGCAACCCCCAAGAGTTTCTCACTGTCACACTAGCCCACACTCAGCCTAGAGAAATTCATCAGAATTGCCATTTAAGCGATCCTCCAGTTTATGGCTCCAGTGGATTCTGCTCCGGGTGAGCGGATCTGGCTGTGGCTCTCTGGATGCACATGACTCTCCAGATTCCAGGGTGGTGGTCTGCCCTCCAATATCAGTTCTCTGGTAGGCCCAAGAAAATTATTGATTTTCTTACTGTAAGAATAGGAGTGACAACTCCCAAGCTCTTTACCTGTTGGAGCTGAAACTATAAGTCCCACCACACCTGTTTTACATAATTCTCTCTGTCCCTACTTAGAGTGCTTGGGTCCTGGCAGGCTGCTTTGCTGCCACCTACATCCCTCCTCCCCTCCTCTGGGTTATAGACTCTTGTTGCTGCCAATTTGCCCACATCATTTCCTGCTCAGCTCCAAGAGTTACATAACCTCAGCTGGAGCTGAGCAGAGCCAGTGCTCCTGAGATGGCGCTCTGCATATTAGGCAGTGTTGAAGGAAGGCAGCCCCACAGGAGGCAAGCCATGAAGGCTGGGGACTTGCCGCTAGAGTTAAGAATGCTCCTCTGGAATCTGATGAGCTATAGAATCCCTATTTCCCCACATGATGGAGAAGAGAGAAATGCTGTATAACAGATGACCCACAAACTCTTAGGCATGTCCTTGTATCACTATACTTGTTAATTAAGTGCAGTATATGATAGTGTTGTGGCAAGCTTGACAAAGAAAGAGTTCACATGGACTTGAGGTAAGTTACACTTATGTAACTTAAGAAGTAAAGGTCTTGCTATCAGCCTCCTTGGCAGTATCTGCTCCCCTCTGTCTTCCTAAACAGTACTTTTGTAGTAGTTTTGTTTTTCCTTAATCATAGATAGGGTCATTCTATGAAGACATGAATTCCTCTTTGTCTTATAATGTTTGAAATTACAGATCAGGGATTATTCACTTTAACTTTGATTGTAAGTAGGATATATATAATGTTGGTACTCCTCTTCGATACTGACACTGAACAGTAAAGAAGCAAACTATTGATCATTGTGATATTTTTGATACCAAGGTGGCTGGAGGTCCCAGATGAATCTGGATAACTTTGTTCACACATAGGTACTATGTATCAGAAGATGCCAAGAGGTATAAACAAAGAGTTGGCTCCCTTATGGCCTCTCCAAGGGCAAATACCTCCAAACTCGTGGCAAAGGAAATTCTTCCATCTTTTCAGAAAATGTCTCCTCCCACACCTTCTGTTATGGAACGTGGGCTGTCACGGCAAACAGCAGTTGGCAAACTAGGAGGAGAGGGTGAAAACTAGTGCAATGTGAAGAGGATTTAAGCAACATACACCTTTGGGGAAATTTTCTCCTTTAAGCTGGGTTTGGGCTATTTTACCATACTTTCCATGATGCTGAAGGATAGCAGGCCCTTAAAAGTTTTCTGAGATTTTTTTGAGTCATCTCATCTCTGCCTTTCCCAGGCTTCACTGAGACCGCAGAGAGGATACTAAGGGGGTGATAACATCAGGAGACAATGAAAGAGACTGGGGTGGAAGTCAGGGAAAGAAGAAAATGAATATACATGGGAGATTAGGAGAGGCCCAGAGAATGGATGAGGATGAGCAGAGAAGGAGAGGATGGGTGACAACAGTGAGAGGGCAATTCCTAGGGCTGGAAGTAGACAGGAAGTGAGGGAATGGAAGAGATGATGGGGATTAGACAAGTGATCAGGGAGAGAAAGAATAAGGCTAAGAGATGTGAAAGGAATCAGGAAAGGAAGAAGGAGAGCTGAGTAAGAGATGTGCAACTGCACGCGCACACACACATACACAAGCATTGCAACTAAAACGATCTGGGCCCACCGCAGTTGCTGACTGCATGGTGCAGACACAACTATTTGCAATAACTTGGAAACCATACCTTGTTTTGTTTAAGGGCACCTTTTTCTTTCATATGAGGGCAGTCCTTTCCCGTCACCACAGCTTTGATATCTGCCACTGGCACTGCAATTCATAAAAGGAAATGAAAGTAACTACACCATGTGAAAGCTTAGCTGTCATTAAAGAAGCCGGACTAAGCATCGAGTCTACTGGCACAGTTGCCATTCTCAGAAAGTACTGCAAAAAGAGAAAAGAAAAGAAGTGAAAAGAAGAAGAGAAGTCAGGCAGTGTCCTGGACTAGAAACTAAAACATATTTTTATATTCTGCTAAAAAGTATCCCTGGGGAGAAAAATCTATGATCATAAGCAGAATTTGGTTCTTCAAAACAAATATCTAAAAAAAAATCCCATCAATCATGTTGAAAGTGATGGTATTAGAATCAGCAGTAATAATAATAGTAATAGGGGTATACTAATTCTGATATTATGGAGGACATCTATGTGCCAGGAACAATGCTAAGTGCTTCACATATATTAGCATCTCTTGCTACAGAATCCACCTTGATTTAGTTTCTCAGTTTTGGACAACAAAGGAAAGCAGCCCTATTGCAAAATATTTATCTGCGTCTACACAGTCCTGAACTGTCACTCTCCAAATTCTCGCTCTCTACCATCTCATTAATTCTCACAACAGTTCTGTGAGACAGGTTTTATTACCCCTATTTTACAGACAACAAAACTAAACTCAAATAAAGGGACCACTCCTTTCTGAAAGGAAAATGGTAGCTGGTATTTATCTTGGCGATCCTGAGAATAATGCAGTTAGATAAAATGATGCTATCTCATGTCTTATTCAGGACTTGCAGGAACATAAAAGACATGGAAAGGTTTCTGCATCTAAAACTTTGGTTAAGATCATCTGAGAGAGAGAAGGCAGTAGGATGGTTTGGAATCTTAATTTAAAAAACTGTGAAGTCATCTGTCCCTCTCCAATCCCTAATTTTTCAGTCTCACAAGGGACTGTGAATCTAGGGGCCCACTTAGGATCTGTAGAAGCTTCCAGTAATCAATTACTCCAACTCCCTTAATGATGAAGATAATGAGAGATTTCATAATTAAAGTTCACACATTTTTATCGGGGAATTGGGTTGTGGGGGTGATATTTAGATCAAGTAAAATTATGAAACATATAGAATGTCAAGATGATACAAGAGGAAGGCCCTTTAAAAGGTAACATTTTCCAGGTACCCTAAAACTGCCAAGAACTTTGTCCAAATCTGTTGACACCTCTAGAGCTCACTCTAACCCCAGGGAAGAGTGGGCTGTGATGAACTCTTCTCAAAATCTCTGTAGGCATCCCTTGCTCTCTGTCCCACCATGTCTGCTTCTCCATCTTGCAGTCCTGACTCTAGAACCCTTTGGTAGACATTATTTGTACCCACTAATATCTGGCTTTCCTCTCCTTTGGGCGTACGGAAGACTACACTTCCTAGCAACTAGGTGGGGCCATATGATGAGTTCTGGCCACTGAAATGTGAGAGGCAGTGGCATGTCTCTTGTTTTGGTTAAGGCAGTGAAAAGTCCATGTCCGCCAACCTCTCTTCCCCAGTTGCAGAAACTGAACAGGCCACATGTCCTGACCAGATGGCGCAGCTATAGGATGGCAAAGCAGACACAGGCCTGTGTCCCTGAGTGACTTTGCGGAGTAGTCCTTTGACAACCCACGTCAGTTATGTAATGTGAGCAAGAAATAAACTCTTGTTGTCTTAGGCTACTGAGATTTTGGCATTGTGTGTTCCTGCAGCATAATGTAGTACTGCAGCCTACCCTGAGTGGCATAACCCTTTACCTTGGAAGCCTTTCCTGCCTCTGCTTGGCCCCTTTGGATTGGCATCTTCCTGTAATTGATCATCATGATTCCTCAACCTATCTTTGACCACAACCACTGACTTCAGCTCTCCTCAAATCCATTTTCATAACCAACAGTCAGCCCTGTTCCCCTCAGTGGCTGATCTGGCTGCCTAATCACTACCCCAGGAGGTGATATTTGGGCACTTTGGGAAGTTGGGTTTATTTTTCAATGGAAAGTCTACCATTGAAGTGAATTTGTGATATAATTTACATATCAACTCAAAAAAATCTCCTCAAGCTTCAGATGGAGTTTGAGTCACAAGTACCTTGTAGAAAGTCTTTTGTTGTATAATATATAACATGCTCAACAAACTAGAGAGTGTCTACAACTTATAAATAGTAAGTTATCCCTTGGCTTTGAAAACCCATCACGTGGAACGGGACAAGAATAACACAAAAATCCATCGTGGGAGCAGTCTTCAAAACCTCTAATGAGAAAGCTTCAGGGGAGAAAAGGCACTTTTCCACCATGCTTGTGGCAGTATATATTTTATGTTTTTTACATGCATTGTCCCCTGTCAAGGAGATAAGCTGTTATATTACTCACAGGATTATGGTTAAAAGGAAAACACAAAATTCTAAAAATACAGTGTGGCTTTTAAAGGTTGTTCTTTGCATATTTTGTCTCTAGATGCACTGGACAAGTAGGCATCAGAAGGGCTAAAATGCCGTCCTCTCTATTCCTACGGGCAAAACCAGCCTCAGGTCCCTTGAATCTACCTCTAAGAAGGCAGCAGAGGACTCTTGATTACTTCAAAGCCAGGCTAGTATTTTCATCAGGCTGTTTTGTGTGGGGGCAGCATAAAGAAGTGGGGCCCAGAGATATGAGAACCAGGAGGGTCACTACTGGTGCCCTACCCCCACTTGAACTCCTTGGGACTTGGCCTCATTTCTTTCAGTGCTTTTTTCAGTTTGAGCTGGATTGAGACAAGCTAAATTCAACACTCCCATTTTACAGATGGGGAGACTGAGGCCTAAAGAGAGGAAATAAATTATGCAATGTCACATGGCTAGTGGGGGACAGAGCTGGGACTACTGCTTTTCCTTTCACTCTGTGCTCCCTTGCTTGGTCATGATTTCTCCCTATGTTTGGAAGGTATCAGTACCCCAAATCATGCTGAACACAGCCCCAGCTGTGGTCATCACTTCAGATATGTTCAGGAAACTCTTCGATTGCTAATACTTGTGGAAGGAACTTTGTGATTTAAAACAAAAATACCATTGAAAAAGTAAATGTGGCCACCGTGATGAAAATAGTTTTAGCTTTCACCACTGGGAGCCAAGCTGAGGCAGAAATCACCCTGGGAAGTAGCTAGTAAGCCATGAGCACTTGTTGTATACACAGCTCCATGTACAAGTTCCTGTGGGTGGAGATACAGAGGAGGGACAGGCCGATCCCAGTATAGTTCAGTGAGGAATCTGGTCTCTAACTTGGCAGCACAGAGTGGTGGGTAGGGCTGTGCCTTTGGTATCACAGAGCGAAGTCTAGATCCATCTACTGGCTGGACCACTTTCGGCTTACGTTCTTGGAGCCTAGGCTTCCTCGCCTGCAATGTGGAACTATAATATATCATATACCTTATAGGGTTGCCCCGAGAATTAACTCCTAATGCTGGAGCCAAGATCACTGTTGGCTTTTAATCTAGGCTGCACAGAGTAGTGGGTAAAAATCAGGGCCACAGAGTTGGATAGTTGCATTCAGATCTTCACTCTACTATTTACTAGCCATGTGACCTTGAACAAGTTACTCAAATGTTCTGTACCTCAGTTTCCTTACCTGTAAAACAAGGGCAATGATATCTACCTCTTCAGGTTCTCGAGAGGATAATTTATGCAAAGCTCTTAGCACAGCGCCTGGCATATATTTAGCACTCAATAAATGTTATTTGCAATGATTGTCCCTATCAATAATCAAAGTTAATTCCCTCTGTAGATTGAGGGACCTGAATTATTCATCGTGCTTCAATGACCCAAAACGCCTGCTTTGTTTTGCTGTCTCAGCTGCTCCTCTCATCTACTGTAATAGGCTTAATCGCCTGTGTGAGGGGGTGAGCCTTCTCTTCCCTGGACCCTTTGATGTGGGAGTGAGGAGAGCTGGCCTACATTCTTTCAAAGGGAGGCACTTTGGGTCCCTGGGTACGGCTGGAAAGCAATCGAGTCTAGTGTTTAGTGGCGGTGATGAGAGCCTGTAAACCAGGTGGGAGGGATGTGGGGCGAGAGGGGATGTAAGGAGATGTGAATTTTCAAGGGCCATACTTCCTGTCAAACAAAAAGAATACGAGAGGAGAGATTTCCTAAACCTTTAGGGACGAAGACAGCTAAGGAGAGGCCCTCAATCTTCACTCGCACTCTCTGCATCAAGAGGATTCAATTACACTATTTGATTCATCAATATCTCAATATTCAGCACTGATTAACTCAAGGGGAGGAAGACAATTTTCCCCTTGGTCCCAAGAGAGGGCAATCGTATATGGCAAGAGCAATGGCACTTGAAATTAATTAAAGGAACGTCTCATTTTTCTAGGGGAATGAGGTTTCTGACTTTGAAGGGCTCCAAGAGGATGGGCTATTTTGCTCCAGGCAGAATGCAAAATTGCAATTAAATGCAAACCAGGTGGCAGGCCTGCAGGCTTGTAGCAGCAAACTTTAGTTTCCTAGGCTGGGGCCTTCTCATCTCAGGCACATAATAGCTTCGTTTTACTTCATTACAAGAATACACCCCTCCCTGGCACACGTGTGCACAGAGATATAATCTCACCAACACACACACACCCACCCACATGCACACACCTGCATAAGTATGGATTCTTGATTTATCTTGCAATGGATAAACTGCTTATGGAGCAGCTCTTTGAAACTCTGAATTATTGGATTTCAAAGGCTGCAGGGGAAACGGGCAGACAAGAGTTTTGGAGCCATTGTCAGAAGGGACTGCAGCAACCCTTTCCCAGAACCAGTGTCACTCCGTGGCCACCACCAAAAGCTGCTCGGAGATTTGCAGCTCTGGCCTTCATCTTCTGAAACCACCCTGGCAAGCTGGCTTTCCTTGGCATCAGCTCTCCTGGTTTTCTAGCTTGTTACTTTCACCCTGGACCCTTGGGGGTGCAGGCCTTGGGGGGGCATCAGCTTTCAGGCAAGCCCAGGAACTGCCCCTACCCAAGGCTCAGGTGCTGTCCACCCTGTGACCTTCTCTAGGAGAAGGGCTACCGATTTCTAAGCAACAGGACCAGCTAGAATGAGAGTGCAGCATCTAAAACCTGCAATCAGTGCCAATCAAGTGTCTATCTGTGGATTAAGAATCAGATTATATCCCTATAAATATGGGGATAAATAATACATCCAGCGAGCGGGAGAGCTGATTCACTGGGGAAGGAATGAATCATGCTACGTTTTCTTTTTCTGCCCGGACCACTTCCCCTGTTTCTCGGTGAGATTAAGAACGAGGCTGTGGGAGACTTCAGATAGAGCTTCTGGCTGCTCTGACCAACAGTACCCTCTCACTCTTCACTTCACCACTGTAGAACAGTGCTTCCAGATTGCTGGCCTCTGGACAGTTCCTAGCTCACGAGGGAGTTTTCACCAGTTAGCAAATAGAGGAAAAGGAAAACACTGGTCTGAGTTTTTCACAAAGCTAATTTAATTTATAGAAGGGACTGTCCTTTATTCCAAGATTAGGTCTTTCTTACTGCTTTTTATGATGGAGTCCTTTGGTTTTTTAATGAAAGGATTGTGATGTTAAATTTTAGTTAGATTTTATTTCTTAACAGCCTTGTTTGCCAAAATTAAAAGTTGGCAACCCACTATCAACTCAATTTGTTGTTTTGTTAAATTTATACTTATTGGTGAAAGCCAAATTTGGGGACTCACTGGGAGGAGTACAGGGCAATATCTAGGCAGCAGTCCTCACTTTGTGCATCAGAACTGCCTGGAGAGTCTGTGAAGACAGATTGCGGCCCCTACCCCCAGAGCTTCTGACTTGGCAGGTCTGGAGGTGGGGCCTGAGAATCTGCATTTCTGGTAAGTTCCCAGGTGATGCTGCTACTAATGGTCTGAGGACCATACTCTGAGACCCACTGGTCTAGCTATGTTGATGGTGGAATGTGGAAGGCTTTCTGAGACCTGAAGGGAGAGCCTCATTACAGGCAGAGGACCAGTGTACCGGGACGCACCCACAGCAGGGATGTGTAGACATTGCCCCAGACTGCAGCAGGGGGTTTCAGATTTCTTTCTCTTCCCATTAACGGTGTCGATAACGTGGGCTGGGGAGGCAGTGCATCTTATGAAAGGAAACGAGATTGCTTTCTGAACTAAATGACACTACAAAGACCACATCCCATTTTTAAGCTGGAGGCAGAGAGAATGTTCTGGGCTGTCTGCCTGATATGTCAGCATAGAGTCTGAATGTGTCAGAATTTCCCACTCAGGGTTTATTTTCGCCTTCTATGGCCATGAGCTGCAAGGAAGGCAGTCCAGATTTGACTTCCATGGGCCCCGGGGTGACAAGAGGGAAGGTGCTAGGAGTTGGGGATAAGGATTCTGTCTGGGATACGCTTATATGATTTACTGCAAGGTCAATGTGACTTTTAAAGGTTATTTAAAAGTGTCTTTATTTGTTTTCTCATTCTTTGATTTCTCCACCTGGGATATTTTCTGAGTCGAGGCTTACTTCATTTCATTTATCTTCCAAATTAATTCACCACTCTTGTGTATTTTAATGTTTCTATAATACTTTGTTTAATTTGTACACTTAATACTATCTAAAAAATCTGGAACCTGGTTTGGGCTAAAATAATCTACGATATTACTGACTCTTCAAAATACACACATTAAAACAGACATCGTACAGAAATAGCAAATAAATACGAATAACACATATTTCAGGGAATATTTAGCAAACAATAGAATGTAATTGATCATAAATTTTCTAAGTGTCTGAGTTACTTCTCTGAAGTAAGTTAGTCATGCTTGGATCTGCCATTAGCTCTGCATTATAATTATGGGATACACTAACCTATAATGAATAAATGTGTAGGGATCAAGCAAATGATTTGTATGGACTTATTTTGGGTCATCAGAACAAGACAATTGACAGAATCAGGTTTATATTGCTTTCGCTCTTTGAAACGGCACCTGGATAAGTAATGTAAAAGTGGAGATTTGAACCTCAGGTTTACATCTTTCCGGAAAGATACGCAAGCATTCCTTTTATGCCCTCCCCTGTTCCATCCCAAACCCCAAATCTATCAAGGTCTTAATGCTTGATGAGAATGCTCAGGCCAGCACTTACAACAAAATGAGACATGTTCAGTGGGTTTATTTAGGTTGACAGTTTTTCTGCATCATATTTTGTGACCAGGAAACTAAACAAACAACCAAAACTCAGGGCTCCTACACAGGAGAGCCACTTACGTTTGTCCTGCAAGGAGTCATGGGGCACTTCTCCCTGAGGACATTCTTCCAAGTCTCCATAATGCAGGACCTTGTGGTTTGGTGAAAGCCGACAATACCAAAACTTGTCTGGGGAAAAAAAACACAAATTTACAAGGTAAGTGATTCTGGTTTCCAAAAATATCAACATCCTTCTTTCCTAATAGTCTTGCTTGGAGGAATAAGCAATTCATTTGATTTTAAGTGTTTAGGAAGGAATGAATTCTAGAGCCCTTGGCAGTCAGTCCCTTTTTGGTTTTGATATTTAGTTAGCACCTGTCCTGCCTCGTATACATTTGGTAACCATTGGGCTTTCCCTTCATTTACAATGGCAACAGGTTTTCTGAAGTGGTGGTTTCCAGAGGGTTATTTTATCAGTATCTACAACAACGATGGGAATTATTCCTTATCCACTTAGGCCTGACAAAAGTAGGGAGAGATGCAGCAAAAACAGCTCTCCACTTTCCTCTCTGAGATTTTAAGACTGTTGAGACAGTTGTGTGCTATATCTTGGTCGGCACACCAAGCCCCCGACCCTTGAGGCTAATACACACAACTTAATCAATGAATGAATTGTTAGGATTCTAGTGATACACACAAGGGGTGGAATTCGTCAGGAAATAATTTAAATAATTCAAGGCTTTATCCAAAGAATGAAGATATTCACAGTCATCTCCTCTCTAATGCCTAGAGTTTAGTTGTCTAAATAGGCATGACAAAGACCTTAGGATCCTTCTTGTAAATAACTCCCTCAACTTGACCTCCTCTGCCCTCAAATGCAATTTAAAATTTTTGCATAAGGTTGTGAGGTAGGGAGAAGGAGGCAAAGAGCACTTTTTATAGATGAGGAACCTAAACTGTGACAACAACCTTTGTGTAGCTCTCAAGGCTGTGCTTAGATGGTACCTCCTCCAGGAAGCCCTCTTTGATTACTGTAGCCAAAGGGACTCTCCCCATCCTCTTAGCTGCTCCAGCATCTTCTTTGATTACTGGTGCCCACATGTTAAACACCTTAGTATTCCCCATTATCTGCCACAGACCCTAGGTAAGCAACTTGCCCTAGTGAACAATTACTGACGGAAGACAACGACTCCAGGAGAGTCATCAGCCCTGACGGTGTGGAGGAGCCAGGGCTCTCTGATGACAGCCACTGTCTACAAATACAACTTGTTTTGAAACCACTCTGACTAAAAAGCCCTCCATAATATTTTAAGAAAAGCGTTTTTCTATCTAAAATTTCTTCCACTGCAAAACCATGTTTTAACGATTCTTTTAATAGAAAAGAAAGTTTCAGAAATGGAAGTGAAACCCACACAATGAACAAAGAAAATGCCCCAACTTGATCCACAGAAGCAAAATACCTCTGTGATTCCTATCTTCCTCGTCTATAAGTAGGGATTGAGAATTCCTGAATGCAGTCAGAATATGGCGATCCATATATTTAAAAGAATTGAACTCTGCTAGAAAAATTTAAGAGGAAAGAATAAGTTATTTGATGGCTAGGAAAACATCTGGAATTGCTAAATTTTCAAAATTATGTTTTATATATATATGTGTATGTATATATCTATATATCCCCTTAACACACGTCATTTTTCTGGGAGAACATTTCAGAGGGAGAAAATAAAGTTATGCCCTGGATAATTCACAGCCATTTTACTTAGGCAAACGTGTAATTATCAGTTTTCCATGAGGAGAATTTGGGAATTTGACTTGTAATTCACAATAGAAACTGTGAATTCCAAAGGAGCAGGCCATGCTCCGGCTGTGAGCATAACAGCGCCCTCGGGGGCCTGGCATGACAGGCTGTAGAGGCTTCTTCTCCCCAAAAGGAGCTTTCACCCTGTCTAAACGGCCTGTGACGACCACAACGCCAGCTGGCGAAGTTTGTGATACAGCTTTCCTTCCCCTGCGACCTCTGAGGTGGGATTTTTGGCTAAGGGAGTGACTGAGGCTAACAGAAAGCGGGGAAGGGAGTCAGTGAGCTGTGGCGCTTGGACACACTGGTCCTATTTTCAGTAAGGTCTTAGCCTGTTGTTTCTAGGAAGTCCTTGCTTCTCAAGCTGGGGGGAAGCTCTAGGGGTTAGTGGTGGTGACCTGAAGCTCAAGGGTCCATACGGTGCAATCAGAGAACATCTATCATCCTCAACACATCTGGGGGAGCATTAAGAAACTCAAGCAGTACAAACATATATTTTGGAATAAAATGCTCAACTTATATTTATTTCTAAGACTTCAAAAAAACTTTGCTGCACATACTTTCAGGGTAAGTTTATTTACCCAACAAATACTCGCAGAGTGCCTACAGCGCACACAGCACTCTACTGGGTGTTGCAAAAAATCATTAGGATGACAGGCAGATGTGAGAGACAAAGCCAAGAAGCTCAAGGAGAAGGAGCTCCCTCTGTTCTTGATGGCAACTGAGAGAAAGATGGTGGAAACACTTGTTCCCCAGGTCTGGGAAGTAGGAACGGGGACTCAGCAATTCTGCCTGTTCTATAGGGAAAAACAGGAATAGGGTATGTCTTTTGTGTAACATATTCTTACATTCAGAAACATTTAGAGAACAGTGGCTATTTATCAGGGGTCCAGGAGGCGAAACAACCATCTTCCTCGCAAAGTTGCAGTCGATGTTTATTTAAAAGAAACACCAAAGGATACCTGGAACCCTGCCATAACAATAGCTGGTGTATAGCTGACAGAATTTCCTCCTTCCAGCTGCTTAAATTCTTTTGACTTTTATGAAACCACCCTCCTCTGGTTTTCCTCTTACCTCTGGCTATCCTATATAAGTTCCTCTTTCTCTGTCTACCACTAAAATGGTAGCGAGCAAAAAGATCTGTGCATCACGGACGTAAGTGATGTGTTCCTCTCCTCCCTATCAAATAGGAAGTCTTGGATAGATGATAAAATATTGGAAAAGGCTTGGGAAGGTTGTTTTGATCATAAGCAAATGGGTGGATACTCAGCCAGCATCTTGCTTAGGGTGAAGCCTGGAGTCGTCAGCTCTGGGAAGGTTAGAGGCATCACGACTTCTGTGTGTGTGTTTTGAAGGTAGAGCTGCTATAAAGGAGAGCAGAGCCGCCAGCTCCACCAGCACAGCACACTGACATGTTGGGTGAGACAGTTTCCGTGTCAGCCACTAGCAGCAGCTTGATGAGCAGTTTCTTTTATGGTAAGAAAAATGTGTATTTTCTTTTCAAAACCCAGCATGATGTTACTAGTTCCTCAATCCCTCTGGGCAATGAATGAGTGGATTGTGTCACTAAAAGCAATTAGCAGGAAACAGTGAGAACATTATCAAAGACTGTTTACTAGCATTGAAAGAGAAAACAGGAGTTAATATAAAGGTCTTCCAGTCAATTACAAATGTTTGTAGGTTAATAGCCATCTCTTCATTCCCCAAACCCAAAAATTGAAAATATGAAGACAATTTTGTGCTTCACTCTTGTCTGTCTCAGTACGTGTGTGTGTGTGTGTGTGTGTGTGTGTGAAGAATCAAAGGGAAAGCTGGTTTCAAAACTCACAAGCCCAGTAAGAAGGTCTCCAGTGCTGATTAAAGCTATTCCCAATGTCACATAGATCATTATGGAGCTAATAACTTCTGACCACTGTAATTCTTGCAGTGATGCTCCATAGAACTTTCTGCAATGATGGAAATATTTTGTATCTGCTTTATCCAGTAGTAAGAAGAGAAATTTTAAATTTAATTTTAATGAACTTAAATAGCCATAGGTAGCTACATCAAACAATGCAGCTCATTGTCTGTCTTCATCGTCCAGGCTGGAGACAAGTTTGGGGCTGGCCAGCATGTTTTTAGGGGAGATGAGCAAGCTGAACAAGAGCTACCATTGTTGAGTGTGAACTGCTGGTCAGTTCAGTGAGGCGCAGGGCACAGCAAGAACTGAGCTGATCGACTCTGCCGTGGCCTCAGGGAGACATCGTCGTCTTGGGTGCAAAGCCCACAGTTGGCAGCTGGCTGCTGGCCCAGGGGGCCCTGAGAGTCCTTTGTTTGGGAGACAGGTGGCCCTTACTAAAATAAGTTCTTAGGGAACTTTCATTAGGATTTCAGATCTTTCCTAGGTTAACCTAAAATGTTCAAAATCTTCAGTGTGTTCAGGAGAAGGTCCACTCCCTGCCAAGGGTCAAACCTTTCCAAGTCACAAAACATGAGGGACTCCAGCAATGTTTTTAAAGGGAGATGTCATCTTCCGGGTGATGAGACACAAGATTTCTCTGTTGGTCCAGTAAAGGAAGACAACAACCATAGATGCAGACAAAGGTCATTCTTCCTTTCAAATCTTCCTCACTTCACTGGACATCCTTCAGAATAAGAGACTCGTGTTTTGATTCAGAATTCTGCCTCCCTGGAGACTGCTGCCTCCTTTTACAGCAGAAGATTACTCCAGAGCCCCCAAATCCTTTTTAACCCATGGTTTGGCCTAATCAATGCCCTGGAGTAACACAGACCTGGGTTACATATCTGGCCCTGAACATCAGCCATGGAGTCTTGGCCAAATTATAAAAACCTTAGGGATCCCTGTTTGTCATTTGTTAAGTAATGCTAATAATGATATGAGTAAAACATATATAAACTGTCCATCATGCACCTTTCACAGAGGAGGCTTTCAATAAATATTGGCATCTCCCTATTCTTCCAGGCAATTCTCTTGTTCACACTACTGGTCCCTCCAGCTTTTGAGAACAATGATTAGCTGTTATTTTGATCTACTGGAAAGTGACTTTTTTTTGAAAATGTACTGGCTTTTCTTCCTTTCAAAATATGCATTTATTTATACCTGCCTTTTTGTACAAATGAGTTATGATAAGGTTTAATGAAATATTAAAAGAAAATTTCAATCATGGAAAGAGGAAGAAACAACCTGCTCCCCAAAAAAGTTTGTACGGTTACTGTTCTTGAACATATCATTTGGCTCTAGGTTTTCTGAGTGAGCTAAAAGAGCAAGGTAAGGTACATCGCCCTTGGCAGCAGTTGGGAAGCATGCAAATTCCTTAGGGGGACACATTTTGCCCACTATTGAGTTCCAAATTAAGTTTGGCATGCTAGTGCTTAGAGAAGGGATGCTGGTCAACAAAATGGACAACGTCTTCAATGCGAGGCAAAAGTTCCAGGCTATCACTTCTTGAAATGACACTCCCATGTGTAGCTCTGGGCTCTTATCAAGACTATTCAATGCAAGTGATTCTGAAAGACTCTAATCTCTGAAACATAAGGAAAATAGGGGGCAGTTCTGAGCCTGCCAATTCTCATAAAGCAAATAATGGCCCTGGGATTTCATCTTAACTCTCTCCTAGAAGCCCAGGGAACACGGAAGTGAGGCAATCCCATTGTGAAGGACTGTGAACAAGAGCTTACATTCTCTACGGTGGGTGCGGAATGGAGTGAAGCAGGTATGTGATATCCATTGCCACTCTACCGCCTGTGTTTAAAAACCTATATTCTGAGGAACTACAAGCTGAAATTAATACTAAATATCATTAATGAATGTTGACAATGTGCCGAACACCCTACTAAGTGCTATAGATGCATGATTTTATTTAACTCTTACAACTATTTGATGTAGGAACTGACATAATCCCCATTTGATAGATGAGGAAATAGAAGCACAGAGAGATCTATTCTTAGGTTGCCTAAGGCTACCCAGATAGCAGGTGGGGAGGTAGGAACTTGAATGCAGCTTGACGTGTCCAACATGATTTACTGCCTCCCAGTTCTAACATGGTCAGAATTCCCAGAAACCCAGACTTGTAAATATCTACATCAGACTAACCAAGCAGCAGAGTTGCAAATGAGGCAGGTAGAATGATGTGCAAGTATCAACTCAGGGGCCTTCTAGCCCAACGTGGCACAGTAAAGGACTCTATGTCTGCTCCTTCACTTTCCAGTTCTGTGGGATGGGAAGCTCTTTCATATTTTACTCTATAAAGTTAATACTTAAATCCACTCATCTGTGTCTGACTCACTGTTGGACAAGTTTAAACAGAGTGTGGCCATGGCTCCTCTGTGGGTGTGTTTGCTCTTTAACCTGTGATGGCACACGGCTGTTCCTGTTTGAGATCTCATGTGGAAGTGCAGCTTTCTCGAAGGGATTAAAATGATTTTATGTCATGTCCTCGTTAACCTATGTAAATCTAAATGGAATGTTTTGATGGGGTGATAGGAAACCAATTTCAGTGCAGTCTGCTTTGAATAGCCAGTCCTGGTGGTCTAGTGGTTAAGATTCGGTGCTCTCACCGCTATGGGCCGGGTTCATTTCTTGGTCAGGGAACCACACCACCTGTCTGTAGGTTGTCATACTGTGGCAGCTTCATGTTGCTGTGATGCTGAAAGTTATGCCACTGGTATTTCAAATACCAGCAGGGTCACCTATGGTGGACAGGTTTCAGCGGAGCTTCCAGACTAAGACAGACTAGGATGAAGGACCTGGCCATACACTTCCAAAAGAATTGGCCATGAAAACCCATGAATAGCAGCAGAGCATTGTCTGATATAACGCTGGAAGGTGACAGGATGGTGCAAAAAGACCAGGCAGAGTTACACTCTGCTGTACACAGGGTCACTAGGACTCAAAATCGACTCAACGGCATTATCAACAACTGCTTTGAATCCCTATTTTTAAGCACACAGAGCTAGTCACCAGATTTTAAGTCTATTTACCAAACACCAAAAAGCCCTCCTTTCTGCACTTAGATGATTTTATATTAAACACAGATGGTCATGATCCCTAGGGAGCTTAAATAATAAATTTTTAATCTAGATGCTAATTTTTTTCTTCACTAGGTAATTCAGTTTTAGAAAATTGGAAAATTTGCCCATAAGGGACTAACACTTCTTTAGCCAAAAAACTATAATTATCACATCTAGAAACAGGATTATTCTAGCAGAATCTACCCATTTCAGCCTAGAAAGGGAAGTTTTGTGGTGAAGTAACCTGGAAGGTTAAATAGAGTTCTTTGGATTAGGTTCTGAAGGGTTCTAGCAGGGCATCAGCGGAGGCATTTGGTGGAATGTGTCTATTTGCCATCTCCCCCCCTCCCTACTTCTGTGCCCTTTGCCCAATGTCAAGTAAATAAAAACTTCATAAATCACCTTATGGAGGCAATATATTCTGAATATCGATTTTTTCCAAAGGCAATGAAGAGATCAGGGCATACAATTGACTATCTGGCTAACTGAGCTAACGGACCATTTAGTCCTATTCTCACACTTCATAGATGGGAAACTGTGGCCCTGAGAGATAACGTGTCCTGCCTAAAGACAGCCAGGTGGTTACTCACACAGTTGAGAAGCCTAGAGCCACGTCTACTCACTCCCAGCTCATTGCTCTTTTCCTACACGATCTTCCAGAATAATAGTAGCTACCCTTTGTTGTTGCTTTCTAAGAGCTACATTCATGATCACCTTTCTTCCTCACAATAACTTTAGGAGACAGGCACTATCATCCTCATTTCAGATGGGGAACCACCCAAGGTCGCACAGTTGGACAGGGGGAGAGGGAGGATTGTCCCACTTCATCTGGCTCCCAGGCTCTTGTCCTCACCACTGTGACACACTGTCTTCTTGGAACAGCATTTACTCTGATGAAGATGTCCAAGGGAAGGAGTGCAAGAGAAAGGAGGGAGTGAACTCATTCTTCAGTGGCTGAATGGGAGAGAGGAGTTCTCTTCCACTGTTCGTAATATGAGCCTTTCTCTGTCCCAGATGTAACTCAGCCCTTTATTATACTGCCCATTCTCCTCTCCTGAGGCCCAGCTTGAAGCTCACTGCCATGGTTTCACATCCACTGGGAACAACCTGCATTTTCATTCCTCAAGGAAGTTCTGCCTTTGCAAATTTCTTAATACGATTTTTAATGGCAATATTTGAAATACTTTGAATTTACTCTATATTCAGAACAAAGCTGTGAAGGTAAATGGCTGGTGTGATGGGCTCAGCATACACACGAAATGATGTTTGTCATTAGCGGGTGAGCTCTGTGTCTGAGCAGGGCATCCCTCAGGTTTCAAAAATATCTGCAGAGTTTCTCCCACCATAACTGATGTTTGTTCTTGGTGCAGTTGCTAATGCTTATGCTTGTTCCTGGCTGTTCCTCAATCTCTTCACCTCTCTCTAAACCTTATATTTCAGTTTTATTTTCTGACTTTGTTTCTGGGACAGTATAATATGAGTACCTTGACTTTGCAATGAGCAGCATATCAAGAACGCAAGAAAGCAATCAAGGGACTTCACTTCCCTGGCTAAGAAACAACTGGAAATGCTTTCCACCTATTGGAACTAGTCTATTGACACCCATTTTGACTTGATATTTTGGGATTACAATTTATAGAGAGAATTCAGAAATTTGTCTTACAAGATTATGAAAACTGATTCTATCCTACTTGGGTCACTGTTACTTCTATCTCCAAATAAAATAATTCTGACCTGGAAGAGAATCAGTATGGGGATTTGAGAAAAAGGACCATCCATGCTGAATGCTCCAAGATCAAATCCAACACTGGGTGACAGCTCACCTGACAATATAGCAAGTCATTAAATGTAAGGGCCAAAGAGCTGCTGGAGTATGAATCCTTGCTCTTCTGTGACTTTGGGCAAGTTACTCAATGTCTCAGTGCCCTAGTTTCCTTATCTGTAAACTGGGGGTAACCACAGTAGCTACTTCATAGGGTTAGTGTGAGGATGAAATGCATTAACATGAGTAATATGAGAGCCTGGCACACGGTAAGCTCTCAGTACACGTTAGCTGTTGTTGAACCACTACTAGCAGACTTGTGGCACTAAGTGGCCCAGAATGGCTCTTCAGTTCCAGGGGTCTTCTGGTAATTGTGGACTTTGATTTTCCCTGGGTACGCTGGGGAATCAGGACTGCTATTCCTGTCCTGAGTACAACGCTGCGTGGCCTACCCTTAAACCAACACCCAAGCCGTTGTGATTCCCCATGGAGCAGGCCACTGTTCACCCCAGTCAAGTGTGGAGTGGCGCCAGACACCATACCTTGCCTCCGCCGGCAGTTGAGTTTCCTAAAGCAGGTCCCTTCCACGAGGCGGTTCAGGCGTTGCTGTTTGATCAGCTCCAAGATTTCTGGCTGAATCTTCTCCTTTAGTTCTCTGTGAAAGGGTAAACACATATTCCACAGCATGCCTTGAGAACAGTGCCTGGTTGAAAGGGCATCGTGGGCAGATGGGGCAGGGGAGTGCACGCTGCATCTTTTCATGAACATCTCAATACCTCCCAAGATGGTGCTTTACAGAACCATTTATTAAGCGTCAGTGGACAGGGTTATCTGTTATAAGAACACTATAGATTCTCCGACATTTACAGAATACCCACAAAAGCACCAGCCCCTTCAGTGATGTTTTTCTAGACCAAAGTGTCCCGAGAAATTTCCTCTCTTGTTTTACAAAGCCACAGATATAAATTTATGCAACAATTCACTCAGCTCTGCAGAGGCAATAAGTCTCTGGCTACATTCCCCCTCTATAGCAGGTAAACTCCTACTGCATTTGTGATCTGACCAAACAGGAACATTAGGCAACCACACGGTTACTATTCCACAGCAAACACTGTATCCTGGGCAAACCACAGGACCACATTTTGCTTTCAAGTCTATCACTTACAAATGGGAACAACATGTGGTCCCAGATTCTAGCCCACAGAGATTGGGATAATGATGGGATAAATTAAGGATTATTTGCATCTTGTCTCAGGCTAATATAATGTAATTTAGTTTTAGATGCACTGTGCTGTAAAGATATTATGATAGAGTGCAATGGTTTCTAAATCTTTTTTTTTCCTAAGAGCAGAGATTTTGTTTGTTTGTTTGTTTGTTTATTTTTCCCCAAAGCCCCAGTAGATAGTTGTATGTCATAGCTGCACATCCTTCTAGTTGCTGTACGTGGGACACGGCCTCAGCATGGCCAGAGAAGCGGCGCGTCGGTGTGCACCCGGGATCCAAACCCGGGCCGCCAGCAGCGGAGCGCGCGCACCCAACCGCTAAGCCACGGGGCCGGCCCAGAGATTTTTTTATCATGTGAAATTTTATGTAGTCCCCTAGCATTTGAGTCTAGCAAAGTAAGAGTTGTTCTAGTTGAAGCTGGACAGGGAGACCCAGAGCCCAGCCCTCCAAGCAGTATTGAAAGTATTGATTAGAACAGAGATCTGGAACTCAGAAGACTAGGGTTTCAATCCTAGGCTCTGCCCATGACTAGCATGTCATGTAGCTCATCTAATCTCAGTTTCCTCAACTGGAAAACGGGATAAGAATCTTTTCTGGGAAATTGCTGTGACACCCAAAGGAGATAGTGTGTGTGCGACCACTCTACAAGCATTGGGCAGAAATGCAAGGTATTGCTGAATTTGCTTTGATAATATTCTCTCCTTTCCTTAGGCCAAACACTCCATATGCCCATGTAACACGGTACTCAGGGCTCACACATTCCTCAGCCTCAGCCTTGACTCTGGACTTGCTCTGGACTGCAGGCAGTGTGTCTTCACACAGTCTCTTGTCCTCGGGTGGGGAAGCACTAAGGCTTGGTAAGTGTCTGCTATGAGTAGGGTAGTGTACTATGGAACTTTAGCTCATTTAACATCCCCTCCCCGCCCACCCCCCAAAGCCCCCAAGTTTTGGGAATAGGTGTTAATATCATCATTCCCATCTTATAGATAGGGAGACAACACGCAGAAGTTAAGTGTAGAATAGGGGTACAAACTCAAGACTTCCTTGTGCAAACTACTTTTATTTACGTGTGAGAAAAAAAGAATAAAAAAGTCACATAAAAGGATCTGGCCATCTAACATGGTGTTCTAGTACTCCGTTAGTACATATTTTAGACTTAAATGGCCCCAAACTTTCTGTCATTTGATCCTGTTTCAAATGAACATTTATAAAGCATAACATGGAGATTCAGCCCTAATAATACAGCTTGGTACATTTGTAAAGCTTTTCCTGTGCAGGTCTCAAAGGGTCTCATCTCAGGCTTTCAGATCACTAAAACTATTTATTATCAGCATTCAGCTTTGGTGAAATGCACTCAGTAAATGCAGCTTTGATGAACTCTGCTCTGAATGGAGAAGAAGGTAGGAAATTGCCAGGGCAGTCTTACCCACAATAAATCACTGCTCCTGACTTGCGAGTCAGGGCGACGAGGCAGAGAGGAAGAGACAGCATCGAAGGATGGAGAAATCACAGGAGAAAGAGTCTGGGAATTTCATAAATTCTTAGATTATAGACGTATCTTTAAATAATAGTTTTACTAGGCTAGAGTTGAGTTATTAAAATGGAGATGAAGATGCAGAGATGAGGACGAAAAGGAGGAAATAATTGAAAGTACTTCTAAGTAATTTTGATTGATGATATGTGACTTCTTAGTGTAAGACCCAGGTGTGCTCTTCATGATACACTCCATTATGGAACTATCTTCTGGGGACGGAGTATCAGAATAGGAGAATCTGCTGCTGCAAGAGTTACCCTTTTCTTATTATGGACCCAAAGGACTCCAAAATATGATTGGGCAATGAGGGAAATGGGACAGCTTTGCTTTTTTTTTTTCTTTTTCTTTTTTTGGTGAGGAAGATTGTCCCTGAGCTAACATCTGTGCCAATCTTCTTCTATTTTGTATATGAGATGCCGCCACAGCATGGCCTGATGAGCGGTGTGTAGGTCCACGTCTGGTACCCGAACCTGTGAACCCCAGGCTACTGAAATGGAGTGTGTGAACTTAATCACTACACCACTGGGCTGGCCCCCAGATTTGCTTTTTCCTATGCAATTTTCTCTTCTTTCCCTGCAAATGGACTCAGTAGCTATAAAATTCACTCATATTAGGAAAGCATATGTAATCCCTACATGGCATTTCTATGGATGAAATTTGACTTCATGTTAATCCAGGTCATAACACCATGGGCTGGAACTGGGTTTTGAAATTCTCAGCTTGGGGTCAATGAGGCCAAGGTCTTGGGTTTACTGGCTTTGTTTTGATAAATATTCCTCTAATTCTATTTAAAGGCCTTATACAAAATAGAAGGATGAAGGTTAAAAGAGGTAGGGTAAATGAGTGTGTGAAGAGCAATTCAAAGTCTAGCACCGTTTCTAGAAGACAATTCCAAGTCTGGGCCCAAGGAGGCCAGTGCCATACGCAGAAGACAGACAGCACCACTAGACTGGTAAGATCCCTTCCTGGACCTGGGATCTGCCCCACTGAGCTGTTACCTGGTGTTCATCTAGAACAGAAGTTGGGAAATTTTTTCTGTAAAAGGCCAGATAGTAAATATTTCAGGCTTTGTGGGCCACACCTTGTCTGTTGCAACTACTCAACTCTGCCATGGTGAGTGAAAGCAGGCGACAGTATGCCAACAAATGAGCACAGCTGTGTTCCAATAAAACCCTATTTGCAAAAACAGGTAGCAAGTGGGATTTGGCTCAAGCGCTATAGTTTGCCCACCCCTCATCTAAGAGGGCTCTGTGGAGACTTTGGGCTGAGTGACACTGTCAGTTGCATAGAAATGGATCTGTTTCTGTCTCAACACTGGGGGCCCTCCAGGCTCAGTCCTTGCACCTCTTCTGTTCTTTACATTATGGCTGTAAATAGCAACTTTATGCTGGCAACTCCCAAATTTATATTTCCAACCTAGACCTCTTGGCCCAACTCCAAACTCATCCATCCAACTGCCTCCTTGGACGTCTCATGGACACCTGGAACTTGACATGTCCAAAGCTGAATTCCCGATCCCCTGTCCAAGCCCGCTTCACTCACTCTGTCCTTCAGTTAGGCGCTCAGGCTCCAAACCTCAAGCTCATCCTTGACTCCTCTCTTTCTCATACACTCCACATCTAATCAGCCAGGCAGTACCATTGTTTCTTATCTTCAAAATCTATCCAAGCTATTGTAGAGAGTAATCACTTCTCATCACCTCTTGCTTGGATTACTGAAATAACTTTCTCACTGATCTCCCTGCTTCCAAACTTACTGCCTTGGAGTCTATTCCCAATACAGCAGCAAGAGGGATCAGTTAAACACCCAAGTAAGAGCACATCAGTCCTCTGCTCAAAACCCTGCAATGGCCCCCCAACAAGGCCCTACGTAATCAGGCTCCCGGCCACCTCTCTGGCCTCACCTCCTATTGTTCTCTCTCTTGCTTGTTCTGCTCCAGCCATACTGGCATCCTTGTTATTCACTGAGCAGCCAGATCTGCTCCTACCTCAGGGCCTTTGCACTGGTGTTTCTATCTGCTGGACTACCCTTCTCCCAAATACACACATAGCCTGCTCCCTTAGTCCCTTACACATCTTTACTCAAATGTCACCATCTCAACTAGAGGGATCTACTCTGACCACTTTATTTAAAACTGCCAACTCTCCATTTCCTCTGTTCTGCTTTATTTTTCCATTGCCTGTATCCTCTTTTACCATGCTATAATCTTATTTACCACGTTTATCGTCTGCCTTTCTCCCCACTAAAATATAATCATTATGGGGCGAGAACTGTGTCTGTTCTCTTCACTGATGGGTCATCAACACATAGATCAGTACCTGGCATGTGGCAGGTACTTGATAAGTATTTGTCAAGTGCATTGAACACTGATAATTGTGTAACTGACCAGACTGCCCTACCAGCACTGGCTATGACAAAGCCTGGAGCAGAGCTTGTGGCCAATCTTTAGTGAGGAGGCAGATTTGCAGAACAGGCATTAACCTTATTTCTGGCACTATTTGTTTTTACTTTTTCTTTCTCACCTACTTTTACTATACTTTCTGAGATAAGGCGAGGCATATACAAATATATTCATAGTGTCAGTTTTACCATTTACATATTAACAGTGTGACAACTTGTTAAATTCTGGGTATTGGCTAATAATGAGTGACCATTTCTCTGAGTGGATATTATGTGTCAGGCATATGCTTAAGGGCTTTTCATGCATTACTTCACTGAATCCTCATACCAACCCAACAATGCAGAGACTTTTATCATCTTCATTTTTAGACCAAAAAAACAGGCTTAGAATAGGCTATATAACTTGCCTAAAGAGCCACATTTGTAGGTGGTGGCCTTGGAATCTGATCCCACATCTGTTAGCTCCCCGGGTCTGGGTTTTTACTACTTTGCTTCACTGGTGTCTGTCCTTGCATCTCCTCTTCCCCACAAAAATAGACCTATTTTTGGACTATTCAAGCTTTTCATATCCAATAGCTTGGATTAATTGTGTGGATGGTCTTATCTTCTCTGTCAAGTCATGCTAAGCAGAAAATAACAAATACCTTCTCTCTGAAATAATTAGTCAAGATCTAAAAAATAAAACAGAGCTTCTTGAACCCACTGAATATATGTTCCCCTCAAACATTTGCTCACACGGAGTTTGCATTTTTCTTCTAAGGAAATATAGATGTTTTACAAAATGGGACGCATGCCTCAAGGGGTCTTTGTGGTGGTGAGGTTTGCCACTGTGCCGTGTGCAGCATGCACAGAGGCAGCCAGGCAGGCAATGGGGAGAGCACTATGGGGGTCAGGTGGAGTGGCAGCAAGCATGGCCAGCAGGGTTCCGCACCAGCGGTCAGGCCCCAGCCAAGTCATTTTCCCAGTCTGCAAAATGACAGTCCTGAACTCGATGACCTTAAGGGCGCTTTCCAGCTCTAAAATTCTAATATCCTAACTCCTGAGCTTGGGTTAGATGCATCTCCTTTGCGCTCTCATGACAATCCACCCACCTGTGCTTTTTCCAAGCAAGCACTGAGCACAGCCCCTGGTAATCCCTCCAACCCCAGCTTTAAAGCCTATGACAGTGGCGGCCAAGCGTCTTTGGTTCTCTCTCTGTCCTTAGCCCCTCGGGCAGGGCCTGACAGGTAGGAGTCACTCAATACATATTTGTTAAATGAATAAATGAATGAAAATAATCAAATATGGTTTGTCCCTTTCTTTTGTTTACTTGGGTTTATGCTGTGAGACACTTTGGTGGCATTTAGACTTCATCCAACCCCACAATGAGTTCCTGTCTAGTAGATCATTCTAACAGACAAAACATCACTGGAGAAGAAGCTGGAGGCTGGTTCCTGCCTGCCTGTCTCAGGGGCTCAGATAAGGATCAGGTTTGTTCATGGCCTTCCCGCTTAAATGCTATAGCTTCTGACTCGTCTTTATGACTTTACTGCAGCTGTCCCAAGAAACCCAGTGGGCCGTGGAGCTTTTCAGTCCTGTGGCCGAGTGATGATGCCAAAGTTACATACATTCAGGAGATTTCTGACTCGTCTTTATGACATTACTGCAGCTGTCCCAAGAAACCCAGTGGGCCGTGGAGCTTTTCAGTCCTGTGGCCGAGTGATGATGCCAAAGTTACATACATTCAGGAGATTTCCTTCATATTTGCATTGCTTCTTCTTACATAATAAATGTAAAGCTAAGAGCTTCTTGGAATAAAGGGAAAATAAACTTCAGAATGTCACAGGCAGAGCCTTGGGAAGTAAAGACCTGAAGCCAAAGCAAGAGCAAAGTGTTCACACTTGACATGTAGTTAACCTTCTTACCTGGAACAAAGTCACGGTCAATCACTAATTTAGAATCTCTTGGCCTTAGCTCAAGTGGTTCCTCAAGTCTCCCTTTAGGTTTTACGAATTACTGTCAAAAGCATAATAAAGTCTCCTTGTGTTTACACATCTGCCGAAACAGATGTTATGAAATCCAAGGTGTCCGTACTATACACCCTGGGATGGGACGAAGCGCCACTGTCCCTCCTTGCCAGTGAGAAACTGCATCTCTGAGGAGTCAATCATTTATCTGAAGTGCTTTCTGTTCGGTATTTTGTTATATTCTGTTCAGCTATTACCTTCTTCTGGCTGAGGACCAATGCAAAGCCCCAGCAGTGCCCCTCATACAGCTGACAGGTACTCAATGCAGGTATAACTTAGGTTTTACAATAATACAAGCCAAAGACCCTCAGGAAGCATTTCCCCTCCCCTGCTGCCTGACTTCATTCCCACTGAAGTCTGCAGTTCTAATCTGCAGTTTCTAAAGGTGCTTCTTAAGGTTTGAAAACAAACACAAAGTAGATATTATAGCTTGGTTACTGTCTATTCAGACCTGTGCACTGTTTTTAACTTCATCTTAATCTTGCACTTGGCAAAGGAGCTCTGGTAGGGTGGACGAAGCATTAGCTGAGGGACCAGAGGACTAGAGTTCAAGTCCTGGCTCCTCCACTTGCTAACAAGGTCCTCACCTCTCTAGACTATGTCCTGGTCCTTGAATGGGAATAAGACCTGCCTATCTTACATGGACGGGAGGAAATGAAACAGCAGGAGGGGATGCTTTGCAAATTGCCAAGCATTCAAAATGTCAAATACATAAGAGCAAAAAACAGAAAGGGGGGCAGAAAGAAAAAAAAAAAATCAGAAACAGAGAGAGAGAGAGGTTTAAAATGGGCTTCATAATGACACTTATGTTGTAAGTTGGCTTCATATGCAAGTTCAGAAGAAGCTGTGTCCAGTCTCCCATGTGAAGAATGAGAATACATGTCAAACACTTCCCTTACCCCCCCCCTTTTGCTTATTTCCTTCTCTATAAATTATAAGGATAACAAAACTGACCTAGTTCTTAGGAAAGGACAAGGGAAGATTAACAGGCCAGCTCTAAGAAAAGACGAAGAAAACAAAACAGGCCTCATGTTCGAGGTTCAGAATATCTTAGAGATGGAGATACATGAAATTACACAACTGTTGCAAGTGGAATTTGACGCAAAGTCCTAAAATATCAGAGGACCGCTGCCTCTCTGCCTTAGGCCTGTAGGTCAATAGTCACAAGAGCGATACAAGATTCTCTGAAGCAAAGCAGAGCCAAAGGGCAGGGAGAAGGTGGATCTCTCCCTTCCTCTCAAGTTCTCCATCCCACTCACACAACTTCAGTGTTCACGTTGCTTTAATTATTGGTGACCTCACGGTGGCTGGGTCAGAGCATCTTGCTACTCAAAGGCACCTATATAGAATATAGCTTCACAGGCAAAAAAATTTGTCCCAAGTGTTAGAAAATGTCCCAAACTTTTCAGCTACAAATCCTTAGAGGATTTGTCAGCAACTGGGCCACTTCCTGGTTTAGATCTTTCTGCCAGTATCTGTCCCCTCCTCCCACTCAGCCCATCCCTGCCCAGCTTTCCTTAAAGAGTTGCTGAGACTTCATGAACTGAATTGAGATCTTTTGAATGTCTTTTGTTGGCCTTCCATAAAGAGCTCATAACGCAGCCCAGCTGTGTGATAGGCTTTCACTCCAGAAACCATGTCAGAGCCTTTGAGGAGACAGAGATCAGGGGCAACTTACAAAATCGGGCGAGACTGGAAATCTTCCTGGTTCATCCTCTCAGACTGGCGGATTTTCAGGATCTCAGTGTAGCTCAGGTTCTGCAGTTTGCTCTTGAACTGGTCCAGGGAGCTAGGCTTGGTTGTAAGAGCTCTCATAACCTGCTCCTTCACCACCTGCATTACCTGTAGATGAAAGGAAGACCATAATTTTCCTGGGGGTTGACTTTGCCCATTCAGAAAAGTCTCCCCGAGTTAACCTCCCTGATCCCCTTTGCTTGCACTCTCAGCCCAAATCTTGAGCATGCTTTTCCAAAGAGTAAACCACCATTATGTACACCTTCCATCTTCTCTTGTACTGTTGGAACCACAAGGAAGGAGATGGATTGACTAACTTCGAATTGGGGTCAGGGAGGCTTGGGGTGAGAGGAGTGCTCCATTTGTTCGATATATTATGTGACTGCTGCTGAAGCAACACTGTAAACAATGCAAACTAAAGAACGAAAGAAGTCCAAGCAATAGCTAGAAGTCTGCATAATCATTATTTTCTCCAGGAGAAAATCGCTGAGACACAACTAACTGTGGAAGTTTGGTTGGCACCAGTTCAAATGAATGTGAAATAATACCCACACTGGCCCCTCCCAGAATGCTTTCCCCATGTAGTTAGGTCCTGAGTGTTCCTCCAAATGATGCATTTGGAAATGTGCATGTGGTATTGCCTCTTTGAGCCAGGCACTAAAAAAAGAGGTCTATTAAATTAGCACAGCCTTATCCCACTGGACGCCTCAAGAAAAAAGATGAATATGGTAATGTGCTGCCTCAGGATGGGACCAGCCCATGAGGAGGCAATCAACCATTGCCTCTGTTAATGTGGATCCATCTTCATCAGAATAAATAAAGGAGGAAAAGATCAGAAAACACACAGAGGCATCCAAGAGACTTGCAGTAATCTTGCTGCTTCTTTTTTTGTCCTTCACTCCAGATGAAAACAACTGATACCATTGGTAAGGTATCTACTGTGTGCCAGATACTATGGTAGGCGTTTTATGTATGTTCCCTCTCTTAATCCACTCAATTCTATGAGGTAGATATTATCATCAATCCATTTACACATGAAGAAACTGAGGCTTCAAAACACTAAATAACTAGTTCAAAATCATACAGCTGGTTGGTAGGTGGCTAAGCTGGGATTTGAACCTAGGATTGTAAACATGCTACTATACTGCCATCCCATGCCACCATTCTCGAACTCGCTTAGTAAGTGAAAAATAAGAGAAAACCACAAATGCACCTCAACGATATGCTAGATTCTGTGCCAGGCACTTTGCTGTTCATCACCTCATTTAATCCTCCCTCCAATACAGCATAGTGGGTGTTACCACCACTATTTTAAAGATAAGGAAACTGAGACTGAGAAGGATTGAGGAGTTGTTCAAGGTCACACGAAGTATGATACCAAGTAGCCCAGTATGGTGGAGACAGCATATGCTCCATGTTGAACAGCCCTGGGTTACCACTCACCTTTTGTCACTATGAATGTGATCCCAATATACTCCTCATGGCTTCTAACCAGTTGTTTGCTCAACAATTCATGCATGGTAGGTACTCAGTAACTGCTCACTGACTAGTCCCACCAACATTCCACTTTCATGAAATGTTATTATGGTAGAGGTAACAGTTTTATACTATGAAAAAGACTGTGGAAAACCAGAACTTCCAAATCTGCCTGACTGCTAGGTGATGGGAAAATCTCACTGCCTCAGGAAATATTAGGCAGCTGAAATGTCCTCCAAACACTTGACAGCTCCTGCACTTGCTGAGCTCTGTTTAATGGTGCTGCCCCTCTCTGATGGTGGAGGTTGCTAAGCAATCTGCTCAGATTTCTTTCTCCAAGTGTACATCTCTCCTATAGCTGCCCTATCCACAGAAGGACCTGTCCAGTGATCTGTAGGGGTCTAGAGGCCATTGGGAGGCAGAAAAAGAAAGTGAATCCTCCTCGGCAGCAAAACTAAACTGGCCTCAGGAAGACCAGAGTGGTGCCCATCAGGCCGAAGGGGATCTCACAGGGCCATGAGTCCCCTAACTCAGGGATGCCAGTTGTCCTCACTCTTTAGTCATCTGCACACCCATTGCTTTCTGTGCTTCCGTGCTCCCAGGGGTCCTATGTCAACCACATTTTCCTTTAGTCAACTGAAAATGGCTGAACTGAAGGTGAGATGAGTCACAGGTGGCTGGAAGAAAGACAAATCTATTTCCAAGTGATATCAACTCTCATTTTTCCTTATACACTTCTGACTTTTAGGAATCCAAGTCCACAGCAAGAATATCCTCTACTAGGTAACATATTTGCGTTTTCGTAGGGGCTTTCTGAGAGGTAATAGCTTATCACAAAAAATGAGTCTAATTGCAGGGACCTCAGGAAACTACAGAAGAAAACTTGAGGGATGACAGATCTATATCATTCATGCATGGATCTTCCTTATCCGGTAGGTACCACTGATTTCAGAGGACCTGTGTACCACGCCTGCCCTGTGAAGAAGTGGTTGCTGGTGACAGCAGTGATGGAAAGGTATAAAGGCAACTGTCTTACAGACTTCTGACTCATGGGTGTTTCTAGGGCCATGGCTGGGTTGCTTCCTGCAGTCTAACTCAGCTTGTTATTAGCTTACCATAAATCAGACTGTACTGATAGAAAGTACCAAGAAAAATTTGCTTGAAAAGCTTTTATTTGTAAAGTCAACACAACAAACATTACTGATTTCTTACCATGTGTCTCTACTGGGTGGGGCACTAGGAATTCAAAGATAAATAAGATATGGCCCTTGTCTTCTGTGCACTAATGGTCTAATAAGAGAACTAGACATGGGCAAAGATCATTACGATAGAAGTGTAGACGTGACAGAGAAGATGGACTGATGGACTTTGTTGGTAGGTGGGGAAGCATTTCAGAGAAGAAGACATCATATGGGTTTTGCAGGAAGAACAGGTGTTCAATGGTGTGGAAACAGACGAATAATCTGCACACCACACATTAACCACTTTGAATCTGGGTTGCATCTGAATTGGAACCTGTTACATAAGCATCATTTCATGCCTCCAGCATAACAGCATAAAAAAAATTTCCAGTTGACCTTCCACCTGATCTGCTTCTTTTTTAACTCAGGCAAAATGCTAAATTTGGGATGCTCGACAAATTTTGAAATTGTGACCATCCTATATCATGCAGTATCAGTGGTGGTTAAATTTGGTCAAGGCTGAATTATAATGCTTTGCTGTTTCATGTGAGGGGCACCACAGGAGCTGCCCCTTTCCTCATTTAGAGAAATACAGAGTTGAACCAAGGAGATAATTAGCATCTCCCAATGTTATTTAACCTTCAGGTGGGAGGTAGGACATGTATGAGAGACAAAGATACAGTGATTAGAATACTAAAAATGAAGAAGAGATTTTTAAATAGAATCAGGTTAAAGCTGGGAGAGTTTTAGAGATATCTCCACTTCCCTCATTTTATAGATGAGGAAACAGAAGCTCAGAGGGCCAGGTGATTCCTCTACTTCATGTGTTTCTTTAATGGGCTGTCACAGAGATGACAACCACCAGACCACATCTGACTAGACACAATGATCACACTAGGAAGTGGGCATGTGACCTAAACTGACCAATCAGCATCATCCCCAGACTTTTCTGACTTGACTTGAGGCAAAGCTGACGCATGCTCTTTCCTCCTCAAATTAAGAACTTTAATAAGACTATCCTAACCCTTAATACACAGGAGAGGGAAGATAATGAGACTGATGCCAATAGAATCAGACAGAAGAAAGACAGAAGTGTGTGTGTATGTGAGAGTGTTAATAATGGTGAAGCCATATTCAGCCATAAAGTCAGCCTAACCCTGACATTTGGTGGTTTAGTTACGTGAACCGTTTTTTCCCTTAAGGTGGTTTGAATGGGATTGTTGTTACTTGCAACCAAAAACTCCAAAGAATACATTCAATGAAGTCGAAGAAGAGTACCAGCTTGTGGGGCTGAAGCTGCCCGGATTGGGTAGATGTAGAAGAAGGCTGGATAGAAACAATGAAGCTACTTCAATAAGAAATAACTTTAAAAATCACCTTCATTTATATGCTCATGGTTGTACCTTTGCATAGAAATCATGATAATCCTTTACGTAATACGGGAAATGCTTCAGCTCCTACTTACATCTTACACTAAAAATCCACTCTTAGAGCTTCATTCCTCTAGCTTAAGACTGTGATCCCTGCTAGATGTAAGAATCCGTAAGTGGAATAATCCTTTAAATTCCCAACAATCAGTTATACTTCAGATTGAAGAAAATACACACCATTTCCTAAGAGTAGGTTGATAGGATAAGAGAGAAGCGGCCAAGAGGGCACCTGGCCCCAGGGAAAGGGATGCAAGTGGTGGGTATACAGCACTGAACAGAGGTCGGTGGAGCCAAACACTGGCTTCACCTACTTCACTTCACAGTTGTGCTTGGCACTGGCCCCAAGAAGTTCTATGGTCACTCTGTGTGCCAAGGAAAATGACCCCAGCGAAAGATGTCATTGATTTTTTAAGAAGACAAAATAGTTATGTAAGTCAAATATTCCTCTATTCCTTTGCAAAGTAGCTTCTACAAGGGCTACAATTAATTAATGGTGTTAAGACTCTGTTAATGCTCTATGCGTGCAATTTAAATCAAGACACTCACAACCACCATCCTTAACTGTCCTCTTTGGAAAATATCAGACCTTTTACCATTATTTGAAAAATCCAAAGACGGTGTTGCAGAGGCATCAGCAAATCAATGGACTTGAAACTTCTTAATCACAGCATACGCTTTGCCACAGACATCAAAGAAAACATGCTCATAGAGTCTGCCCTCATTGTTGGTATTGACGGATTATTTAACCAAGATCTGAACCATGCCTGTGGTGTATTTCTGGAATTCTCCCAGTACATGTTCTCTGTAACAATGTCACATGTTACAAAAGAACTGGGAGTCCCACATGATACTTTTACCTCAAATGGAGAAAACCTTTTGGCTCCTTGGAAGACTGGGTTAAAGGTATAAGTGCTGAGGATCCCTGAATAGAATCAAGCATGCTGGTAGTCTAACTGTGCTCCTGGTTTCCTTCTTGTTAATTGAAATGTGCTCCTGGGTTTACTCCAAGATCTACCAAGCC